TTTATTGCATTTACATTAAAATTGAGATGGAAAGAAATAATCAAATAATTATTAATATTACGTTGGCCAAATTGGACACACCATAGATTTCCATAAGACAAAGATACTAAGCTTAATCCGAAAATTTCTAGTTATAGAACTAGTGTTACTTCAAGTTTTAATTTAATTACAATAACTTAGTACCTGTGATTTATTATATTTAAGCCTTTTCCAAATACATGGTTTTTTATCCACCAAAACAGCTGGTTCTCCACTAGGAGTATAATAATTAGGATTTGAAAAGGTTCTTAGACTTCTTCCGTTTGCATATAAAAACTTTTTCTTGCTCCTTCGATAAATGACGGCGGCAACCATAAGAAGTGAAATTAAAACAAAAATTGAAACCATCAAAACCAACGCTGATATAAAATTTATGATAGGGCGTATCTTTTTGAATTTCGGGGAATATCTTGGGTTTTGCTGTTGAAGCAATTCGATGAAACACTTTGTACTTAAGTCACTCAAAGCGCAAAACGGTAAGTGTTGTACACGATTTGAATTTCTTCTGCTCGATAATGAGGTATGATGCTTTTCTAAGTCGAAGCGACTGTCATGAATGCTCTTGTTTTGGTCGCATTGCAGTTAAGTTGTAGCAGATTAATGCGTAAGAATGCCAGAAAAACATTGTATATTTTTCGCAACCCATGCTTATTGCAAAGACTTTGCTACGAGGTCAAAATTTGAGAAAATTTAATACTCTCGGAGTTAAAACAGCAAAAGCAGCACCAACATCTTTGTCAAAACTTTGTCATCAAGTGATAAAACAGCAAAAACTCAAAAATTATTTCAATGTGGTCAATAAGTTCAAGCTCGTTGTTTGCCGGAAACTGAATATCTTTAAATAATATTGTTATGCCTCAATAATTTTTGGTTAACCATGGTTCTAGCATAACTTTCTTCAAATCTTGCATTAATTCTGGGGTAACAGCAAACATGGCGCAACATTTAGGACTCAGATGTGGATAAGACAGTAATTAGAAACATGAGTTCTTTCAACATCTGCCAAAACGTTAGCATGGTAATGTTGGGTTTTGCTGTTAGTACGTGAAGCAATTCGATGATGAACGTGGTACTTAAGTCACTTATTGAGCAAAACGGTCAGTGTTGTACGCGATTTAGACTTCTTGGTCTAGTGTTAGTTCTAGTTTTAATTGTTATTCAGCATTAGATTGTGGTATATTTTTATTAAACGAAATGTAGAACTAACACAAAACCCAGAATTAGAAACATTTGGGTTTAGCTGCACGTCTCTAAAGACGGCTAAACCCGAATGATTCTAGTTCTTGGTCTAAAGCTGGACAACAATGAAAACTAGAACCAACACTATACCTAGAACTGGAATCATTCGGGTTTAGCCGTCTTTAGAGACGTGCGGCTAAACCCAAATGATTCTAGTTCTAAGTATAGTGTTAGTTCTACATAGTAACAGTGTTGGTGTAAAACCCAAATTAAATGTAATATTTTGCAGAAAATTTAAAAGCTTTAAAATACGAGAAAAGCTGATTGGTGTATGTCAAAATGGTGGTAACTGATTCAAAACAGTTGGAGATTAATTAATATAGTCAATAGAGATCAATAATATTAATAAAGATATTTTGCAGAAAATTCATAGGTTTTAGAATGCGAGAAAAGCTGATTGGTTTGAATCAAAAGCTTCTCCTTCCAGCTTCTTTAGTATCTATCTTTCCAATTTTACTCAAGATTCAAGAGATAATGATGTGTCGGATCCTGCCGTATTGAGGTCTGGTGTGCCGCAGGGCTCTACATTGGGTCCCCTTTTGTTCACTATCTATACGTCTCAAATGTTGATCTTTGACCGCTTTTGCTCAAAATTTCATATCTATGCGGATGACACACAACTTTACCACAGCTTTAGCTCAAATAATGTGCTAGAGTCTGTTGCAGATGTAAACAATGATCTAGATAATTTTTAAATATTACTAAGAAACATGGTCTTTTGTTAAATGGGAATAAATCGGTCTATATGGTGTTCGGGGGCGCTTGTCAGCAATATGGCCCATATCTTTATAGATGAAATTGAATTGGAGAGGAAGGTCTGTGTCAAGGATCTTGGTCTTTACATTGACGACCGCTTAAGGTTTACACGTAACGCAAGTGAACTGATCAGGCGTGCTTACGCAAAATTGAAAATGCTGTTTGCTCATAGGCAAGTCTTGAACGCCGATATTAAAAGGAATCTTTGCGAGTCTGTAATTTTATCCAACTTTACATACTGTGACACAATTTACGGCCACTGCCTGTTGACTGATGATGCGCGACGTATTCAGGTAGTTCAGAATTCGTGTATTCGTTTTATATTTGGTATACGCCGACGTCAGAGAGTATCGTATAAGCTGGGGGAGTTGAAGTGGCTGAGTATGTCAAGTCGTCGTCGGTTACATTTCGGTTGTTTTCTTTATAAAGTTGTGTCAAGTAAACTACCACCTTACCTCACCAACAAAATTACTTACAGAACGGACATTCATAATATTAATGTACGGCGTAAGGACCTCATTGACATTCCTCGTCACCGTACCCAATTGTTCAAGAGGTCTTTTATTTATAACGCGGCATGTATTTTGAATAAGTACAGTCTGCTTTTTGCTCAACCATCGTTTCGCACTTTTAAAGAGTCTCTGCGTCTTAAATTGCTTAATGACTAGCGCGTCGTTCTACCTTCAACTCGAATTAGTGTATATACAGGGTGGTTCAGTTTTTAATCGGGAAACTTTACTAAGATGTAGTACTTGACAAAATAACAAGTTTTTATATATACATAGGGTCGCAACTCTTTAGTTTTCGAGCTATGAGCTGTCAAAGTTGAATCAAAAATTTACATTTTATCTTTTATTTTGTATGTATGTACTACTAGTTGATACCTTATTTTCAACCATACCATAACAACTTTTTAACGCCATGGAATATTAATATAAAAAAATATGGGTTGTAAAGCTTATTCATTATTGGTACTTTTTTATCAGTTTAGTTTTTTCCTTAAAGATAATAGTTTTAGCGTAAAAAAATAAAATATGCTACATTGTACTGTAAACCGCTGCTATTATGAAAAAAAAAATTTTCTTTATAGCTGGCTATGGAAGTTGTGCACTTACTAGGATCTAGTACTAACTAAATAACATCAATTAATTGTGAACCATAAATAAGACGAATGTCTATCTGAACAAATTGTTGCTTTAACGTTGCTTTAAACAATATTAAAAAATTGATACTCTTGCACCGTAAATGGATCATACAAGTTCTTCAGAGCCAACTTTTAGAATAATTTTAGCTAAACATGGCGGCACACAGCGGTACATGGCACGATATTTTATTTTTTTACACGGAAACTATTAACTTTAAGGAAAATACTAAAGAGACAAAAAAGTACCACTAAAGAATGAGCTTTACAACCCATATTTTTTATGTTAATATTCCATAGCGTTAAAAAGTTCTTATAAAAAAATCAATGGGGTGGTGAATTACATCCCCTTAGAGGGCGCTAGGGAAGTTTAAAGTATGCTTGAAAATAAGGTCTTAACCAGTAGTAAATACGTACAAAGTTTCAAATTCTACGGTTTACTTACAGCCGAAATACAAAACAAAATGTAAATTTTTGACTCAACTTTGACAGCTCATAGCTCGAAAACAAACGCGTTACGACCCTACGTTTATATAAAAAACTTGTGTTATTTTGGCAAGTACTACGTCCTAGTAAAGTTTCCCGATTAAAAACTGAACCACCCTGTATATATATTTTTTCTTTTTAGTTTGTTAGGGACATTTATTAATTTTTATTTGTTTAGGCTCCTCATTTTTTATATTTTTTTCGTTTTTTACTTATCGGCGACGATAATTGTTTCAGGTTGAATTTAATTTTGATTTGTTATTACTTTATTTTGTTTTTTTTATATATTTCTTTTTTTTTTGTGTATGGGATTTCCAGGAAGACCAGGACGAAATAATTTGGCTTACTGATGGAAATACCCTTTGGCAAACTCTATACTTAGTTATTTTAATGTATTACCTATATTGTATTGTTATGCCAATAAACTATTATTATTATTATTATTATTCGTAAAGTGCATTGTACTAGGTTGGTCAGAAATAACAGAACGCGTTTTAAAAGGTAAGGAGGGGTGTAGCGTCACTATACCTAGGACTAGAATCATTTGGGTTTAGCCGCACGTTTCTAAAGACGGCTAAACCCGAATCATTCTAGTTTTCGGTTTAGTGTTAGTTCTAGTTTTGCACTAGCACTATCACTAGAACTAACACAAGACCTAGAACTAGAATCATTCGGATTTAGCCGTCTTGAGAGACGTGCGGCTAAATCCGAATGTTTCTAGTTCTTGGTCTAGTGTTAGTTCTAGTACTGCACTATCACTAGTTATCACTACTTCTGCTCCATAGTAAAGTATTATGCTTTTCTAAGTCAAAGCGATTGTCATGAATGCTCTCGTTTTAGAAGAACAAAACCAGACTTTGCTACGAGGTCAAAATTTGAGACCACTAAAATTAACAAACATAAAATATCGAATTATATCAAAAACATAAAACAACATAAATGGAAAATTACAGGATGAACTGTTATAAAATTGAAACAGTTTGTTATTTCAAACGAATTAATTAGCAATTTCAAAATAAAATTAAAACGGATTTATTTTATTTTTGTTATCAGCGTTGTTTTTAAAATAAACCAAAACGTAATGGACAAGAAATGTTGCGGTTATAGAGGAAAAAGCACCCTTTCTAAAAAAAAAAAAAAAGCATTAAGCGAACAACAACTATAAAATCTGCCTCATAAATTTTTCTTTGTTCCAAGCAAAGTACGAACCACCCTCGTACATCAATTTTACGACAGACCACGTGGTCATCGAGAAGGGATTTTATTTCTCCAAGTGGGGAAAGAAAAACGTGACAAATTTCCTTAAAGAAAGTTTTTTTTGGTTTGTGGAAAATCTTACGTTAAATCACGACTTTTTTCCTTAACGATTTCAAAAAGTTTCTTTTTAATATTTTAAAATTTTAAGTACTAGCACGAGGATTACTCAGAGGAATAGAGTAAACAGGTCGTGCTGTATCGTCTCCAAGAAGAGGTTCATCATTTTGTTTAGCACATTTGAACAACATTTCGCACAATTGATAACACACAAAGCATAACCCTACAACAATTAACGTTTCCATTTTTTTTTTAATTTTAAATTTCACTGTAACACTAATTTCTCAAAATAGGGCGGGATATTGCACACCCAACGCACTCTCGAAATAGTTGGCGGAAAGAAAACGAGCTTAAACCGGACGCGCTCTGGCGTTGGCGCCCTCGCAGGAAGACTGCAGGATCGAGTCGGGTCCAGGCGCCAGTTTCCCGTTTGGAGCCGGCTAACGCATGCCCTCTATCGGCGGGGTGTACCATAGCATTTTGCGTGTAACAACCCGTCGAGGACAGAATTTCAGAAAATGCGTATCGTCAAAATGAAAATTGAATGAATAATGACGGTGTGTTGAGTGGTGCGCCACTTCAATTGTGTGGTAGATGAATTTCCAGAGTTAAAACGCCGCAGTTAGTACTCCAATTTTAACTTTATACGGCATGCTTTTCGTGCTCAAAATTTTGCGGATTGAAACTACTTAATATAATTGGTCGTGCAACCGCGAAAAACTAAAGCAAAATTTTAACTCGAGGAAATAAAGTAAAACTTATTTGGAGAAATAAATTTTTGAAATCATTTGATGTAATGTTTGCTTTACATCATCGCGTGAATGTAATAAAAGGAGACCATATTTTCCACGAAGAGAAAAACGCAATCAACTATAAAACGAAAGAACTAAAAACAAAAAGAAAATTTAAACGACTCCCGTTGAATCCGGCTTTAAATTACATCTCATTCACTTCGTCTACACCAACATTTTTTTCACCAATATTTTTTTACAATAATTTAACCCCCTATCTATCTTAATTTAAGGGTGATGCCGATAGAATATCGATTTATCTAATGGATCTTTTAGTGTTGTTTGTTCGTCGTCGTGTCGTGGAAGCCGATTAATCTTGTGAAAAGAAACGCATTTAACCATTCGTAAAAGCATTTAATTTAGAAAAAAAATGAACAAAAAAGATTGTAAGGCCTACGAGTACCGTAAATGGATTTGCGTGCATTAACGGATTGAAATTTTACTTAAACCAAAAACTTTGACTTCGAGTGCATTAAAATCAACCCATTGTAAATGGATTTCGTTCCGAACCTTAAAATTATTTAAAATAGAATTGTTTTCAAAAATCCCCAACAATACGGTTTCTCTCCGATGAAGTTATCGCTGAAGACTTTGTTGCAGTCGCCTTCAAGTTGGCGTATACGAAGCTCGCTGCTCTTCACTTCACATAGAAGGGAAGAGGACGAAGGGTGAGCTCGTCCCCTAACAGATACGCGGAATGGCGTTTACTCTCCTTTTGTACGCGAAATGGGAAGCGTGGAATGCACAATATCCCGGATGACTTCGATAAAAAGAACTTTTGATCTTTTGTTCCCGCCAGATCCGTTTCTACGGAAGTCTTACGTGATACAACAAAGTTACAAGTTTTTAGTACGTAAGAGCATTAACTTTTTGTAAGATCATTAGAAAGATTTAGTTTGAACTGGGAAAGGCGAATAAGTTACTTTTAACAATTTAATGTCTTTTAGCATGGATTTTTATAAGTCCAAAGTGAGTTTCAGTATCTATTTGCAAATAGGCAGTTTTTTTTAATGAATTCTCCAGTATAGTCTTGGATAAAGTGTCATTTCCAGGTATTTTGTCATGAAGTTCACCATGGAGGAAGAAAGAGACAACTAGGACTAACAATGGACCACCAAGAACGGAGTGTTCCAATGTAATAGAAGATGTATGTAATTCGAACCTTTTTTCAAAAAGACAGGAGACTCTTCAGTTATCACCTCTAGAAGATGACACTCATAACGATATTCTTTTAATCGAGATCTCTTAACGCAAAATAGGTTCCATGTTCTTGCTAGTGAAGACAACAATGATGATATTAATGACAACTCTTTGGAAAATTATTCTCAAAAGGTACCTCCTATCGTTCTACATAACAAATCAAACCATAAAGAAATTATCAACGATATCAAAGCGTTAACCACAAAAAAATTTACAACTATTGTTGACTAAAAATCTAAAAATCAACCTTACGTCTATAAATAATTATAGAACTTTAACTAAGTATCGCCTTTTTAGATATAGCTAAAGCCTTTATTAAAATTCAAACTATTGCATCTAGGTCTAGATGACTATATTACCGCAATATTTATGTCATATCGTCAAGTACGAACTTTTTGTGTGAGAATAAATGGGACCTATTCAGATACAAGATGTATTAGAGCAAGAGTTCCTCAAGGAGGTATAATTGTCACCAACCTTATTTAATATATTTATGCATGATATACCGTGCCAAAGATGCAATAAAAAAGCTCTGTTTGCTGACGATATGTTGATTATGACCTAAGGTAGTAATTTGGAAGAAGCTATACAACAGCTACAAAATGCTATTAACGACGTGTAGAAATGGCATTACTAAATGGTCCTTACACCTGAATGAAGACAACTGTGAATCATTACGTTACGGCGTTACCGAAATCCAACGCGCTTTGTAATCAATAACACAGAACTTTATTGGAATCCTAAAGACAAAGCTGTCAAATACTTAGGCCTGCATCGTGATCAACGATTAAATTGGGGTATTCGCCTAAACAACAGATTGAACTTGGGATATGCTCGATTGAAGCAACTATCTCCTCTAATAAACAGAAAAAGTCACCTGAAAACTAAATGAATTATGTTACTATATAAAGCTTTAATAAGATCTTTGGTCACCTATGCTTGCCCTAACTAAACATAATGACTATTCAAAGTTTTATAAGTTATTGTTCCTTAGTGAATTTAGCTGTTATGTTAATGTAAATATGAATTCAACCATGATGTAACATGTTTTAATGTCTGTTGAGCTGGTTTTAATAAACAAATAAAAAAAAGCCATGGAGACAGTTTGGGTATGTTGGCCATGTTGAAGGACATCCAACAAAGAAAAGCTGCAGACAACAAATACGGTAAGTAGTCAAGCTGTGGGCTTTATCTATCTTTCTTTTGTTTCAGGTATATTGGAGAGGATAGCCAGATGTTTAAAAAACCCTGAGCTTGGTTTTCCATCATGAGCTTGCAGGTAGCAAGCTTCTTCCGTTAAAAATCTACAAATTGAATGGAACTTTGAATGTCGCATGATGGGACATCAGATTAGGAAAAGCAGAGTAGTCAGCAGTTGCAGAAGATTGCCACAAGGAGCAACGCCATCATATAGACTTCGATAACATGAAGAAGATACTTGCCAGAAGTAGCCACTATCACAAGAGGATGACCAGAGAAGTCAAAACGTCATCACACGAACAACATCAATAGAGAGGATGGTGCAGAGCTTAGACGAACATGGAAGAATTTACTAGACTTAACTGTTGGGTTGGGTTGGTGTTTGTCATTGCTGATTGGTCTCGTAAAAAAGCAATGGTATCATATTTGGCCATTGAGATGATGACGAGGTTAACCAAGAAGATTTAAACTGCCGAAACACTTCCTAAAATTAGAGGTTGGTTTGCTACGAGAAACAAGATCGGCTAGATTTTGACCACTATGTACTCATTTATAGTGAATTTCACTTAAGATGAAATATACAAAAATATATTTCCATAGAAACCAGGGCGTACCTACTTACTTTGTCCCACATAAAATGCAACATGTCAATATAATTTGAAATTACAGTTTTACACCAGCACTGTTACTATGTAGATCTAACATCAATTTTCTAGTTTTATATCAGCACTGTTACTATGTAGAAGTAACACTATACCTAGAACTAGAATCATTCGGGTTTAGCCGTCTTTAGAGACGTGCAGCTAAACCCAAATGATTCTAGTCCTAGGTATAGTGACGCTACACCCCTCTTTACCCTTCTAAACACGTTCTGCTATGTCTGACCAATCTAGTACAATGCACTTTACGGATCTTGAGTAAAATAAGAAAGACAGATACTAAAGAAGCTGGAAGGAGAAGCTTTTGATTCAAACCAATCAGCTTTTCTCGCATTCTAAAACCTATGAATTTTCTGCAAAATATCTTTATTAATATTATTGATCTCTATTGACTATATTAATTAATCTTCAACTGTTTTGAATCAGTTGCCACCATTTTGACATACACCAATCAGGTTTTCTCGTATTTTAAAGCTTCTAAATTTTGGTTTAGCCGTCTTGAGAGACGTGCGGCTAAATCCGAATGTTTTTAGTTCTCGGTCTAGTGTTAGTTCTAGTTTTGCACTTGTACTATCATTAGAACTAACACAAGACCTAGAAACGCGAATGTTGAATAACAACTAAAATTCGAACTAACAATAGATCTAGAATTAGAAACATTCGTGTTTAGCCGGTTGTGTCTCAAAATAGCATAATCCGTGAAAAGATCTACCACTATACCTGATCAACAGTTCAGATCCGTCGTTTTATTTGATAAACCCAAGGCCGCTTGAGGCAGAAGCACTGTAATATTTGTGGCAATATGATGACCAGTTGCAGATAAAATGTTGGATGAGGTTAGTTTTGTTTACAAATGCCAATCATCCCCGGAAGGAATGTTGCGAAAAGTCATATTTCTTTTCAAATGTTAATCATCCACGGGAAAGAACGTTAGGTTAGTTTTGTTTTGCAACCCTAATTATAGCGTGATGAAATGTTAAGACAGGTTTTCTTTTGAAACTCCAATTAAAACTTGAAAGAATGTTGGGATAGACCAGTTTCAGGTCTAAAGACGCACTGCTAAATCCGATATTTCTAGGTCTAGTGTTTGTTCTACTTTTACACTAGTACTATCATCAGAACTAACACAAGACCTAGAACTAGAATCATTCGGGTTTAGCCGTCTTGAAAGACGTGCGGCTAAATCCGAATGTTTCTAGTTCTAGGTCTAGTGTTAGTTCTAGTTTTGCACTATCACTAAAACTAACACAAGACCTAGAACTAGAATCATTCGGGTTTAGCCATCTTGAGAGACGTGAGTTATATGAAAATCTCGGTATATGTTCAATTATACACTTAATTATTAACTTTACTCCACAAATGGAGCACTTTTCGAAACAGCAGATGTAATTTTTTTCGGTCCAAATCGTTTAATAACATTATCATGATTGCAAAATACATCTCCGTGTATCAACACAAGCCTTAAAGCTAAATTACAAGTGTTTATCTCTGTGGTGAATACACTGCAACATAAC